GTCCCGGCTGCCGCGTCCCGCCGCGCTGCGGGTGTGCCCGCACGTCCTCTGCAGGCCTCCGGCCCTGCCGGCCCCGGGCTTACGTAAAACTGGTGCGTCATGCCCGGGCTGGGGTGGAAGTTTGCAGAAATTCTGTAAAATGAAGCGGCCTCTTGCAGGTCTGTGTTGGTCTGAGGAGTCAGCCCTGTCCTTTCCGTTAGGCCACAGCTCCCGGCAGCTCAAAATGCAGGCCAGTTTTGTCCCTTGTCATGTAATCACTTACAGTTGAATTGCAGCAAATACCCGTTTAATGTAGTGTTTTCCTGTGTGTGTATGGATTAGTGGGAAAGATGTAGTTAAACATGCTGAGTAAGTTTCCTGTTTTCACCTGCTCTACCATCACCAAAGCTTAGGAAGCAACACTGCTCATCTTTGCTGTATGTTTTTATAGTATTTTTATGAGTTGTAATAAGTAAGTTACTAGCACTTAGCTGTGTTGAGTTGGTTTTGCTGGGCTTTTGTCACATTAGCAACAACTAATAATCGGTGAGAGCTTATCTGACTTTTTGTTGGTGGAATTTATCTTCTGTAAGGTTCAAATCGGTGCATGCATGCAGATTATTCCGTACTGTAGAAGACTAAAATAAAAAGAAAGCTGTTGAGACTTCCATGGAACAGTTTTATACAATATTATCATTTTATTCAGGGATGCATTATTCATACTTGATTAGTCATACTTTGTATGACTTGAATTACTAGCACTGCTTGGTGTGTTGGTTTGGTTTTTTTTAATGAGTGCTTTCTAAAGCAGCCAGTTTTCCAGTTGCATTTCTGGTTGGAGGAGTTAGATGCCTTCTCTAAAGAAGTGTTTATGCTGCTTAAAAGAAACTGGTTGCTAATACAGGTTGACCTGTACTGCATGCAGTTCTGCTTTTGATTAGTTCTCGAAATTGCAGATTGCCTTCCCAGGGTGGTTCCTCAAGAGGCTTTTTACATGTTTATCTTGTAATTTGTCTATTTTTGTAAAATTGAAGATTCTTCTGTGTTAAAGGTTTTATACAATGTTGTGTGCTTTTCAATGTATTTTGTGTAGCGAGTTGCTCTTAATGTGTAATACATACAGTTAAAATTTTCTTAATTGGTAAGCTGTGATTTGCACAGTGAAGAAAAGTGACCACACTGGGTAATAGTTTTGTAGTGGTCTGTGTTAGTTCTTTTATCAATACTTGCTTTTTAAAGAGTTTGAGGCAGTATGATTAGAATGGGACTTAATACATCAGTAAGCCAATCTTGTAAAATGGCTTTGTATCTTCCCTCCCCCACCAAGAACATCTAGAGGTCTTTAGGAAAAGTGCTTACTGGATTATATGGGGAAGGAGCCCTAATACTAGAGTTTTTGAAAGTGGTTGTTTGAAGGGAGACAGTGAAAGCATGCTGTGTACTCCCTATTTTGTAATTCCTAAACATGGGTAAAATATGCACAGATCAGTACTGAAAAGCCAGCTTTTCCGTAGCTTATGTTGGTATAGATGGACTGCTTTCCCTTATTTTTCCTTTTAAATGGTTGCCTGAAACAGACTTTTTTTTCTCCCCGTTAGGATGGCAAGCTTCAATGAAAAGTGGGAGTCTGTCTTATATTTTACAATGCAATCGTTTGCCTGTGCAGTTGTTGAGGCAAGTGAGAGTTTATACCTCCAATGGTCAGAAAAAAGATCTTGGATCAGAAGATACAAGTGGATCAACCCCTAAAGAAAACCTGCAAAAAATTGGAACAGGTAGTCCTAAGCAAAAATAAAGAGTTTTTACAGAAATGTAAAAACTAAATGTATTTAACAATTGCAAACTTTTTTTTTTCCCCAATTGTGTGATAGTACAGTTACAGAATTCTTAATATTTGTTGTTTGTGGGCATCTGTGTTGTTCTAAGTGTAACAATTAGATGTTGCTTTGTAAGTCTGAAATTTAAAAGAGGATAATGCTTAAGACCGTTTATGCTTCTTGGAAAGTCTTGAACTGAAGAAGGTTGCTAGAGGGTGAGGTTCTTGCGGGAGAGTGACTGAATACAGTGAAAGACTTTAAAGCCAGTTGTAGTTGTTGGTATTTTCTGGGTTTTTAATGTGCAGTTGAAAATTGAATGTGAAGATTGTCTAGCATTATTGCTTTCACAACTGTCTTGAGTTTAATTCTTGACTGTTATCTGAAGGGGTTTCAACCTTCTACCACCCCTGTCTGATTACTCCCTCTCTTATGGTGGCATTAATGATGTTTAGTCCTGTTTTGTGAAAAATTAATAGCTTGCTTGTTTTGCAGAGCTTGAGCAGAGGTCGGATGGATCAGTAAGCTGATCCTGCTCACTGCCTCTGACATGGCTGGTGGAGAGATGCTGCCCTTTGTGGCAGCACAGCCTCAAGGAATTTAACTATTTCGTAAATACTTGATCTCTTTTGGATCTCCATTTTTTTTGCCAGTAAAATTGGGAAATGCTTTTCATGTTAATGTGGTATTGAAAATGGTAATATATTAATCTGGAAAGTTCTCTCATATCAGCCCCTGCTTGTCTGAAAAACAGTAATTGTGAATTGAAGTATTCCATATTTTTTCCTTTACTGATGCACTGTGATGTTGTCCAGTCTGTAAACTTTAAAAGGTTACCTGCTGTATGTGGATCTCTATGCATAGACATGTCTTAATGTTTTTGTGTCTTCCCCCCCACCCCTCTTTGCAGTCTTAAGACCCCATCTCCTGTTAAATAGTGTTGATGATATTTCTTTTAAGGACGTAAATGGTTGCATGCAGTTTTTGAAAAGAAGATACTGGTCAGTGTTTGCTAAGCAATCTCAGATTAAGTGTTTTGTAATGAATATTGATAGATTGGCTGCCTGGTGTTTTAGGTAAGGAGAGGATGGAAAAGATTTGGGGTTTTTTTTGCTTTTGTTTTAAAGTCAGACAATAACTGATAGGGATGACTGTTTTAGGAATGCTAGCTGTTTATAGGCCAGCTGTATTTGTTGGGTAATAGCATCAGTTTTGTAAATTTGTAAGTGTTATTTTTTCCAAGAAAGTGTACTTTGATTGTTCTTAGCCTCAGTCCTCAGCTGCTGTTAGAGCAATAAGTGCCTTATGGAAAGACAGTTATGTACTCCAAGCTTCAAGAATATCTAACCTTTGAATAATTTGAGTAGCATGGTAAGCTATGAGTATCTTATTGATTTACACAAATCTACTTGAAAAATCTTCAGGTTTTTTTTTAATAGGACATTTAGTAAGGTCAGTTGTAATTCTGTTAATGACTGTGGATGTGTTGCAAAATTCCAATGTTAGGTATTGTTAGGGGACAGAAGAGTGGGTATGTTGGTTCTGTGTGTTAGAATCAGAAGTTTTTTGTTCTGAGAGCTATGTCAAGATATATGAGATAGGAATACAGTATTTGTATTTTCAACTGATATTTCTGATGTTTAAGTAGAAATATCACTGGAATTACTAGAATTTATTATCTTCCAAATATTAAGATTTATTTAACAGGACTGTAAATGATATTTTATTTGCTTTTCATTGAGTTGTATTCTCAAATTTCAAAACCAGCTAAAATACTTTTAAATTTATTTATTTATTTTAATTCAAGCTCTGACTTGTGACACAGTAGTTGTGAATTTTAGTTTAAATATTTTGTATTTTAAGGAGTTAAACTTTTTCAAGTGGAAAAGGTTTAGTCCCTTAAAATTGAAATACAGCTTGAAAGCTCTGTGAGACTCGGGGGATCAGCAGCTATAAACTATATAGAATTAATTCTGTTTACTAAAATAAAATTTTGCATAAAACTTGCCCCAGAGTTTAAGTACACTGGTAATTTTATTATTTTTTAAAAACTCAATACTTTCTCAAGTATGCTGGGGCTCTTCTGCAAGCTACTAGGAGATACTGATCAATGCTATATTAAATGTCTTATTTTGTTATTTATTTCTTTGCTATTTCTTTTTTTTTCGAGAGATCTGTTAAAGTGTAGCAAAATTGTTTATTAGTTGTCAGGGTGGAAAGCAATATGAAGATATATTCTTACATATACATGAAGCTCTTTAGTAAAAAGAAAAGTAGGTACATCCATATATACAGTGAGATTTTTATTTTACAGGACAAGATACGACCAATGCAGGCCAGAAACAGTCTTTCCTTAAAGAGCCAATCCAAGTGAAAGGTAAGCATTGAAACTTGACAACTGCCTGCTAGTAGTCAAAAAAGATACATCTGAGGAAACTGTGATTCCTCTTCAACTGCCTAAGAAGTTATGTGAATAACACTCTTGTGTGTCAACTTTGTTTGGTACCCAGTTGTTTGCAAATGATTTTGGAAAAATAAAATATAATAGTATTCCTTCTAGTTACTCACTCCTCTGTGTCTGTTTTCAACTGTTTCATTTGGGCAGGAACAGGTAAGTTTGCTTGCTCATCTGTTATCACACTCTGTCCTTGCGCATTTTTGGGCATGTCCGTTCACTATCTTGGGCTTCATGTGGCTAGGCTGAATACTTGATCTTTCCCTGTTCCTTGTTCTAAGTCTTCCTCTGTTCCTTCTTATTGCTGAGTTAATCTAATCAGTGTTGCTTCTAAATATATTTTGACCACATGAACTGCCTAATCTGAGTCCTGTAATGTTTTCATTTGTGCCTGTAGTAAATACATGCTTTTGTGTTTAGCTACATTGTTTAAAAACATATGTGGATAAAATAAGAGCATAACTTTCTTTCTGCTTCTATAATGACTTGATTTCTCTCCATCTTCGCTCCAATGGTTTCTGTGTTGTTACCATGAGAATTATGCTGTTAAAACCCCCTGTGCTTTTGATGACTCCTAGCCTTCTATGTATTGAAGGAATTTGATCAAAATAGAAATAGAAACTTCTCTTTAAGCTCTGTTAAAAAAAATCTCTGGAATGGAAGGGACTGAGTAGGCTATCTGTTGCATCAGAATTCCTTCCTATCTTCCCCCACATTTAAAGAAACTTCAAACATAATACTCGTAACAAGATGAGATTAGTGTCTGTCTCTGTATTTTCTGTACGCTTTTGTCTGCATCATTTATATAAGATTCTTTGGTCTGTTGTCAGCATATGCATGCAGGGGCAACATACAAAGTAGACTGTAGAAATTAGCCTGAAATAATTGTAAAAATAGGTCTTTCAGAGTTTTGCCTCTGTACATTTTAGACAAGCAAGGAATCATGTTTATGTCTAGAAGTTGGTAGTGTCTAAAAATGAAATTCTAGTGTTTGGATGCTGCTGTGACTTAAACTTATTGATCCAAGTATTACTAGACAATAACATTTTTAAAGAATCACTAATCTTAAAAAATTGTGCTTTTATTTGACTTCATCATTCTCTTGGCAATACCAAAATGATTTATTTTTTTCCCTCCACATTTACTGCCAGTTTGATTTGAGCTAGGGCTAGGATTGTTGAAGTACTCTGCAATGTGCAGTTGGTTATGGCATTATCTTTTTGTGACAGTTACCTGTGTTCCTGAAAGATGGATTAGTAGGTGTTTGATAAATCCTCAAGTTCTTTGGATGGGTATCTGTTTTAAATAGGAAAAGACAGGAAGCATTCTTGTTTAAAAATGTTCATCCTGTTCTAACCATAGTATACGGTGGAATGTTTTTAGGAAATCTCTTTTTTTATCACCTTTACTCAGGAGCACTGTGGGATGAAAGTGATTACTCAAGTACTTAGAAATTGTTTAAGTTCAAACTGGATGACAGAAATCAGACTATTATGGTGAATATTAGTATCTGTAGTGTTAGTGCCTTGTTAAGTGTCAAGCAATATATTTTGCCTTTAAGCTTTCAGAACTCAGTGTAAAGCTTTGGGATTTTTTTTTCTCCAAGTCTCTAAAGGCAATATCTTTTTGTAAGTATCCTGTGACATGAGAAGTTCTGAACTCATTAGAAATCCTGTCAATCCTGTTACATTGAAGAAGTTCGTGTGTGTTCATAAGTCTTGTTTGAGCTTTTTGTTTTCAGTTGTGTTCTTTAATGCTACATCCTTCAGCAATTGTAACTTTTCTCCCAGTAAGCATAATATTTTTAATGGAAGTGAGTGTGTAGTGACTTGCATTTGAATATAAGATGAAGTTATGTAAGATAGGAAATTGTGGCATAAATTTAAAATTCCATTTATCCTTTTTTCTGACTGTGTGGTATTCTTTTCCTTATGCATGAAAATCTGATAAGGGTACATCTTCTAGACATATAAAGCATTGTAAATAAATAATGTATATTTGTAATTATGACCAATATTAAGTGTGCAAATTTTGAAAGTAGTAGTTGAGAAAAAACTGTGTGTAAGTCTGTCTCAGTTCACTGTGTAGTCTGCAAAGGTAATAAAAAATCTTATCTGCAGAAGCTGGAATTGGTTAAGTGTTGGGGAAAAAAAAAGCAAATGGAACTTTATGATGCCGCTTCAGTTGCTAGAGTAAGGGTTTCCAAATTGCCATATTTGAATACTATCTTAGTAGCCAAACACCATCTCTGACATCAAAGTTGGAGAAGTAGCTGACAGTGGCAGTTAAGTGTGTGGGATGTTTGAGAGCCATAAACTACAATTTAGCAAGTAGCATTTTTTGGAGGTTAATCATTCTATGCGTACTCATTTCCACAATGAAGAACAGTCTTTTCACTGTAAATTTTCGATCTCGCTGACATTGTTTTTCAGATCTCCACATAAAGGTATCATGATATGACACTAGATTCAATTACCTTTTGAAGTATCTGCTGTAGTCTCCATGACTAACTTAACTTGCTTACTTATCTTTTTAAGTGAAAGCAGTCCTTAAAAAAAGAGAGTATGGACCAAAATACACACAGAATAACTTCATCACTGGAGTCAGAGCAATAAATGAGTTTTGTCTGAAATCCAGGTATGGTGGGTTTGAGTTAAATTTTAAATTTTGAATATTTGTTTGTATGTGCTTCAAAAGCAATTGTAATTGTAGAGTGATTTTGCACAGCAACGTTTTCTAAATGTTTTTGTGGTATACATAATCAAAAGTGGGTGAAGTTAGTTCTTGTTTAGTTCTGTTGTAGCTTCTGTAGTAGCTTCTTAAACTAATTTATTTGTGCTTATGTGACCATGAATCTAGTTGAGGGGAGTCCACATCTTGAGAAGCCAGTTATAGAGGGGAATCGCAAATAACTTGTTTCAGCATTTTGGGTTTGTGATGGTTTGATATGAACATCTCTGAAAAGTCAATGGGAAATTCGTGTTACGTGAGGTCTGTAATTCAGAATAAAATATCTGGGTCATCATAACCTGTGTTTACTTGATTAATATTTACTGCCTTTTACTATGTGCCAAGCCTACCCCCAGATCTTACAAAGTATCACTATTGTTGAGGCTTTCATGCATGTTTTTTGTGTGACCCGTATAAAATCTAAAGGATTAGCAGCTTTATTACTTTTTATCCTGTTGCTGTTTCTTCCCAGTTTTTACATATATTGTATGTTGCCAGACTTGTTTTTTTGCTGAAAATCCAGTGACAAATTATGCTTAGTCCTCTGCCATGTTTGTGTCATAACTGGCTTGTGAAAAGAAATAACCATCTAAAATTTTGCTAGATTGACCAAAAGTTGGTGGGGCGGAGGGTGAAAAAGAAAAAAGGACTAGATAATTGGTTGGGCTAAAATTGTATTAAAAAAATTAAAAATAGGAAAAAAAATTCCCTGCTGCTTCTCAATGTAGGTGCCCTCATGTATTGCTCAGCATTGGCAATTTATCTGTTCCCCCAAGCAGTTTTGTAATCTCCTGTGTTTTGTAGTTTGTGCTGGGTGTGTAGGTTTTGAGGTTAAATTTCTTAACTTTTCACATCATGTGACTGTCAAGTTCCATTTAAGCCATGTTTAGCATTTTGCACATTTCAATTAAATGCAGGTCATTCATTGGATGTTTTGTTATTCCATGTTCTGTTACTTTGTATAGTATTTCATAGTGTGAGAATATGATTTGGACTTCAGAGTGTGGAAAACATAGTGGCTTGCAATAGCATCTTAGAGATCACTTGCTTCATGTTGTGTATCTGTTCTGTTTGCCTCCAGTAAACAACTTCAGGCTTTTTAGTACTGCAAATTAATTAATTGTACTGCAGAATTGTGGAGGATCACTCAGATATAAAAGCAAAATCAGAACAATATGGAGTTTTTCTTGCATTAAACTGTTTCTCTCCTTTCCTTAGTGATTTAGACCAGCTGAGGAAAATTAAAAGACGAAGCCCCCATGATGACACTGAGACTTTCACTGTGTACCTGAGATCGGATGTAGAGGCAAAGTAAGAACATTTTTCTGAAGGAAAATACTTGGATCATTTAAAGTGGATTATCAGAGAGAAAAGAAAACCTTTTAGAAGTCAGGTTTACAACGTGAAAGAGCAAGAGTGTCTTTAATTTTCTATCTGAAAACATTTTATATCCTAATTGTTGTAATAATTACATGATGTATATAAAAAATCAGAGCATGTTTCATGTGTCCAAACATTAAGTACTTGTTCTCAGCTCCTTGTCCAGCTTTTTATTCTGTGAAGTAATCTGCATGGCTTCTTATCAGAAAGAATGATGTGATACTCTGCTTTTAGGAAAGGAATTTATAAGGTAGCCAAATTGAAAAGAAGTTGCCTAAATAGAGCCATTCTTAAGTTACTTTTACTCTGTGCAGGTCTCTTGAAGTTTGGGGTAGTCCAGAGGCACTTGCTAGAGAAAGGAAACGCCGTAAAGAAGCAGAGATCAAGTACAGAGAAAGTGAGTATAGAGTTTTCAAATAATTTCAAGTGTAAACAGTGAAGTGTGATTGTTACAAACACATTAGATGGTGTGTTATTTCATTGAGATAATACAGATTTGGAATTAGCAGTTACTTATAAGGTTTTATAGTATAGTGTTAGACTAATGCATTGCCATCTATGCAGGGGTCTTACTATCTTACAGTTTACCATTTATTTGATTTAGCAATAATATACTCTCAATAGTCTTTTTTTTTTTTGGGGGGGGCTTTCTGTTTTTCAATTATAACTAATATCTTCAATGATTTTGGATTTTTTTAATTGAGAATTTTGAAAATACTTAAAACCAATTTGATTCTTTGTATCACAGTGCTACTCAATTATTTTTCCTCTGAAATGAATTCTGCTTACCTTTGTTCTTCAGAACACCTCGAGTCATCTTTTTGCTTAAAATTATTTTTGTCATCCTTTCAGGTATTGTCAATAACAAGTACAGTCAGATCAGTAGCTTGTAATGGATTTTGCTCTGTCTAGTCAGTTAAAATCATAGGAGAGGCAATATTGCTTCAAGGTACTGATTTCAATTATGCCCCTTAAAATTTGAGGTCTTTTAATTTTCTTCTGTGCCACTGGAACACCCTCCTACTAAAGAGGCTAGAGCTGCAGTCCCTTGTGAAGGTACCTGTGTTTGTACTGAGAATGCAGTTGGCAGCTTCAAAATGTTTAGTGTCCAGTAGAATAATTTTTGGACATAAAAAATGAGATTAAAAAAAATACTACTCAGTCGTAATAGCATACTCATAGTCATAATATACATTGTATAGTTGAAGTGGTAACTCCTTTTTTTACAAATTATTTTTATACTCCACTGGCTGTTTTAGTGCATTTAAATGATTGTGTATAATTTATTTTGTATAACTTTGGAGGGGAGAATCTAGCACTACAACTTTTAGATATTGTAATATAACAATGTTTATTTTGAAGTTACTGAACATGATTAATGGGTAGAAAAATATGGATGTTAAGAGACATCCTTCCCCCTCCCTCTCCTCTCTTTTGTGGTTAAGGGATGGGAGGGAGCAGTAAAATACCTGGATTTTTTGGGGAGTATTTGGAGTTTTTGCCTCTGTGTATCATCCTTTGTTGGTAGAAATGGCAATGACAGGATCATAAGATTGTATCTATCTGGCATTTTGCATAAGTACACAACAATATGTTTCTGATTAACAATACCAGAAGAGTTTTTCATGCAGATTGTGTACCTCTTACTAGAAGTTGGGTGCTACATAAAAAAATTCAATTTAGGTCCTTAAACTACTGGTTATTAGTATGTATTCATGATAATTTTATATTGCAGATCTATTTAGAAACCAAAGGCTGTTGTGGGAATACAAGGAGTTCTTTGGAAATACTAAGGTAAGAGATGTTTTAAAGTGTTTGGCTAGAAAAATGCCACAAGATATGCTATGAAATCTTTTGATGGAAAAAGCTGTGAAATATTTGCATAAGCTTAACTAACTGAACGGTAGTGGAATATGTATTTGCACTGTAAGATACCAGATATATCTCTGACTGTAATGCAGTGGTAAATGTTTTGATGCCAGTTTAAGTGGGCTCCAACTGTGGCAGTGTAATCCACCAGTAAGGATTTTTTTTTTTTTTTTAGTCAAGTGCCTTCTTAACAAAATTGCAGATGTAGTTGTGATTTAATCTATAGCCTATAAATATGTATAGTACATATCTTGTTAATTTAAAGAAAATTAAATAGGGTTTTTAAGGAAAAAACCCCAAAATATTTACACCTTGCTCCATGCCCAGCTAGCCTTTCTTTGCTTAAGCAGACCCATTCTCTACACCCAGGTGCTCTTCCTTGGTAGGATGATTTCTTAATCTTTTGCACAGCTGGCTCTTGGTCCATATGGTTGCAGTGGCCCCTGCTGGAGGCTTTGTTTGTTGTGTATCCTTTTTATAACTGTGCATCTGTAGAAGTATGTTAGACCCAACTGAAGTTTGGGTGAGCCTTCAGTAGTAAATTACAAGGACTGTAGGTTCACTTTTGCAGTACAGAGCAATGAAAAGTTTTTATTTAATAGTTTGTATGGTGGGCCTTTCAAGAAATCAATATTTGTTTATTTTATTTTAATAATCTCTTTATTTTTTTATGTAGCCACGCTCCAGTGCAGCAGCTATGTTTTTCAAGGGACCAGGGAAGGTGGTAATGGTAGCTATTTGCATGTAAGTTTAAAAAAAAATTTTATTTTCCTGGAAATGAGAACTGTGTATATTCCAGCTGAAAATAACTGTGTCACTATAACCAAAGTTAATAGATTTATTATTAATTGTTGATGAGACAGTTCAGTTGAATACACTAATCAATATCTAGAAATCAGGGATAGAATATATCTGAGTACAGATGATAAAATTTTTTGACGTTGATCAGACTAAGCAGTTCATTAAAGTAAAAATTAAATTTTTTAAGGACTTGGAGAGGCATACATTTGAAGTTGTCCTTTTTCTTGCTCCCTCTTCAGAGAAAGCTTTTAATGTGCTTTAAAAAAATCTTCCATATTACCAACAGGAAATAATTAACTTTTCTCTTTTTGCTTTTATTCAGCTGTTTTCTTCTCTAACGGAAAAAGGGACATTTTAGGAGGCTTTTGCCTATTACGTATCTTACAAGTTTGAATGAAGCTAAACTAAAGGTCCTGTTTTAAAGCAAATGGACTCAAGAGTTCCCTTATTATGAAGGGAATAGAGGAGAATGTTGTAATATTCTAGTCTGATTTTCTTCACAATGATTGTAATAATTAGCCTACTGATTCTGATAATTGATTTTTGAAATGAGCATGTAGAGTCAAATTTTAGTGGTAAGAGTTCCTTCCTCTGTACAATGTAACACAATGCTTACTCCAGTGACCTCTTAACCTAAAAAAGACTTGACAAATCACGCTGGCCATCTTAATGGAAAAGTTCCATAGGTAGTTCTTACTGTGTAGTCTAATGACACCCTCGTTTTCCTGTCTGTTTTGTTTGTACCTTACTGGGAATTGCCCAAGCTGAGATTGAAGTGGGGAGCCTTACTATCCAGTGTTAGAAGGTGGTGCCATTGGTAGGGAATTAGTTATTCTGACTTGTGAATGTGATGATAGTTTTCAGGAAGTGTAACTTACGCAGGACTGCTTAGAAATTAACAACTTTGGAAAAATAAATTGTATATCTTTACATATCAAGTTTAGCTGAAAGGGCTTTTTAACAGTAATCATACAGAAAATGTGTATGCCTGTCTGGCTGTACAAATCTGTAATGATTAGACCCCATGCTTGGTTCCACCATTTGCTGGCAGATGCGTTTGCATGCATATACAGCACTTGTGGTATTGCTGGAAATACTAAAGGCCAAATGTTCTGTTGTTCCTTAGCTTATTTTTTTTCTCTTTGTTTTCAGAAATGGCTTGAACTTTTTCTTTAAGCTGCTTGCTTGGGTTTACACGGGTTCTGCAAGTATGTTTTCAGAAGCCATACATTCTTTAGCAGACACATGTAACCAGGTGAGTGTTTTTTCCCTTCTGCTTAAGTTAGCACTTGTAATAATGTTTCAGGAATTAAGCCAAATACTTCTAGTAGTTGTATTATGCTTGAAAGCAATAATTCAAGCTATAAATATTTCTTGGTTTGCCTATACTGTCTAAATAGTAAGAACCAGAGAATTGAAAACAATCTTTTATTTAGGAGGACTAGAGAGCATGGCCGATACTTGTTTTTCTTTTACAAAATTTGCTCATAGATAACATCAGCATTGTATGGAAGCCTAGGAATCCCAAGTTTATAAGCCACTATTCTTACTAAAAATGAGTCTTAAGATTCTGCTGCTGTATGAATTTACAGTGCTCTTCCTGTTCAACACCTGTGAGCATTTTTGCATTGTTTTGTGATGTACATGCTTCCTAGAAGAAATAGTAGTATTCTAGGAGGACAAAAGCTAGTGCTTAGTCTAATGACCGTTTAAATGATTTTGAGGCCAAACTGGCTAAAAGGTGTTTTTTTTTAATAAACAGTTTAGCTTGGGAGAGGGTGGTTTTGTGTTTTACTGTAATACTAAAGAATTTCTAGTTTCAGTCATTCAGATGACAAAGCCTGCCCAAAGGGTGAGAAGCTCTGTGTACGTGCTGTGGAGGGAAGTTGTATTTTTTTAGTTTCCTGGAGACAAAAGGGAATCTCACAAAGTGATGTTGTTGTTACATACAGTTTTTATTAAACTGTAGGCAGATGAAAGCATATTTTGTCAGAAATTCACATTGTTTTAAAAAGATTGCGAAGCCCAGAGCGCTCTCTGCTGTTTCCCAATCTGAGTGCACAGTTGTTACTATGTTGCAAATACTTGCCCAAACTGGAGGTTTAAACTAGTGGTTTCTATTAAAAGGTGCTCTTTTTTTTTTTTTCTATTGATGCCAGTAATTTAATGGAGGGTTCATAAGCTAACAGTAAAATAATTGACCAAGTCTAGAAGCCTTAAATGCAGGAGTCTAGAAAGAGTAACTTCTAAGTTTAAATCTATTTGAATGATGTTTGGACTAGTATTTCTGTGAATATAATAGTATTTTATAATCCATCTACATTATTTCAAACCACCTGCCCCAATTACTTTTGTTCTTTTTTTGTAACTATTTTTCTAAACTTATTTTTTTCATATAATTGATCTGTACTGTAGTTGCAATTTATTTTCCCTATAACTATCAATATGAAGTGCACCAGAAAAGGTTAAATGAGTTATAATATTAGTCAAATATACAAACATTAGAAAAAATGTCCAAGGATAGGCTTAATTTTGTTTGTCACTATGCCTATGCATAAGTTGATCAGCCTTATCTTTAGGAAGTGGTGGCATGACAAAATATCTTTGGGTTACATGCTCATTCTTCTCTACCTTGCTCCATGCCCCTCCTGGACAAGAATGGTGTATTGGTTATCATAGAGTATTATTAAGTGCCCCTCCAGATAATTTTAACTTTAATTTATTGGGTGTTTTTTCATTTTATTAAGGTAAGAACTAAACAAGCTAGAATGTAGATTCTTAGGGTTTTTTTTTTTTATTTTTAGAAATGAGTTGAAAGAGAGAAGTTGTAGTAAGCAGAACTATATGTAGCTACTTTATGGGACTTGAAACTAAGATGATGTACAAAGTATACCTCTTTCTTATTTTGGTTAAATGTTAATTCAAAATACTTCTCCTGTCTGTTATTGCTTGGTAGAATAATTGTGAGAATTTGTGTATGTTAGTTTCGTTTTCTATTCCTAGGCTTCTTTAGCAAGGTCTTGTAGCACAGGTAGCCACATACCTGGCACATTTACTTTGATAAGTGGTGTGGTAGACTGGGAGCTGGGCACATAATATTAGTGTGCAAAAACAATTATCATGTCATAGAATGGCTTGGAAGGGACCTTAAAGATAATCTAGTTCCACATCCGTGCATGGGCAGGGACACCTCCCGCTAGATTGGGTTGCTCAAGGCCACATCCAGCCTGGCCTTGATGACAACCCCCCTGGGCAAAATTAAGGTCTAAATTTGTAACTTACTGCATCAGTAGTTTAATAAATGCATAATTAAATACATTTCAAACAGATCATTTGCATAGCAAGAGGGTTTTTTTCTTCAAAATATGTTTCTTTAGTTTGAAAAATTCGGAGTTCACTAGTGGAGGAAGCTGCAGTGTAAAATTGCTGCTTTAATCACAGTATGCCATCACCATAGTCTCCATAAAATTTATCTTCGAGAGGGATTAATTTAAATACCTTTTTGTTCTTAACAACTTTATTCCTTCACATTGAATCAGAGGCAACAGTTTTGATTGAAACTAACATTCACTGTTGGTTGCAATTCTAAAATTAAAATGAACAGTAATTATGTATACACACCATATGTAATTGCCTTTATGTTATATGTAGAAGTATCATTAACAATTTTTGGGGGTGGTAGATTTTGAAGATTATATTCCAACTGTAATAAAATATCAGTAACAAAGCATATGAGCAGATCAATAAATTGCATCCACATTTGTTTTTCACATTCAGTGGTATAGAATGTTTCTAAATGTGTTTAATTATTTTTTTTTTAACCTAAAGTTTTTTTTCTTTTGTCTTAAATAGGCATTGCTAGCTTTGGGCATCAGTCAGTCTGCAAGGACGCCTGACCCTAGTCATCCGTAAGCTTTTTGAGTAAATAATGATTTTGATAATTATATATAAGAGTAAGATCAGCTCTTCTGTGTGTGTCACCTTATTCTTTTCAGTCTGCTGTTTAGTATCAATTTGGAAATGGGTTGTTTCTGATATAACAATATATAAAATAAGAAAAGGGATTTATTCCAAACTGCAGAAGTTGTACCTTCAGTGGCTTGATGCATGTCACATTTAATGATTTGTTTGTTTTGTGGTATGCTTTTTGGTGTGGATTATTTTAACTGACATTATTTATATAAGTCATTCTGGGCTCTTCTGCCTCTTCCAATGGGTAGATTTACTTTTTTTTTAAACACTATTTACATGAATGACAAGATTTAAAAAAGAAATAAAAAAGAATAAAAGAAATAATAATGATTATTTTAACTGACATTATTTATATAAGTCATTCTGGGCTCTTCTGCCTCTTCCAATGGGTAGATTTACTTTTTTTTTAAACACTATTTACATGAATGACAAGATTTAAAAAAGAAATAAATACTGCCCTCTTCCTATTTTCAACAAAGTGCTTCTTTGCAAGGCAGCTACTTTTATCTGAAGGACATGTGTTTGGCTTAAACTACTCTTTGTTCTTGTCTGAGTAATAGGGGTATTATTGATAAGTTTTTACAACTTCATGACAGTTAAAAGTTATACTCTCCATTGTATTTTCTTGGTAGGTCTGCTATACACTTCACCTGTTTGGCAGGTCATTCATACTATAAGCACTAGTTCAAAATATGTCTAATTTACAGTTAAGCCTTTATTCATTAAGATAATAAGGTAATTTGAAATATATTTTAATCCTAAATATGTTTAAATATTAATTTTACCTTCTTCCCCTCTCACTTTTCTCCCCTTCTTTCGTAATATAGTCTTTTGTGCTATTGTTTTTTAAACAATGCTAAGGAAATGTACTGATTATAGTAGCACTTAATTCCAAAAACAGGAATAAAGTTATTTTTTTATTATTGCTTTAGTTCTTCCCACTGCTCTTAAAATTTGCAAGCATTGGATGTCTGCAATTAACTAATCTTCTTAAAGTTGTCACAAATTTTATTCCCTTTAAATTAACATTATAAAATATGTAGACTGGCTGCCTGCAAGGCTAGAGTTTTCATTTAGAAGTAGCATTTCAATAAAATGTAAAAGTGACATGAATGTTTTGGGTTTTTTTTTCAGTAGTAAAATCCTCAGTCTGTGCAATGAGAGCTAATACCAGCAGTGTAAATAGTTTGATTAAAATTGAATTAGAAAAATAGGTATTCTTGCTCTCTCTGCATGTACTGGATAGCCTTTTCTAGGCCTTTTTTTTTTAATTGGCTAGGTTGAATTTAGCAACTTTGTTATAAATAAATGCCCAGTGATATGATAATGAACTAAAACATAATTAATGGAAACAACTTGTAGATATGTTTGAAGAGATAGAGAATCTTGCTTTCCTAAAATCACTTTCTTTATTTTCATCTAGGTATGGTTTCACAAACATGCGCTATATTGCCTCCCTGATCAGTGGGGTGGGCATATTCATGATGGGTGCAGGACTTTCTTGGTATCATGGGATCATAGGTTTGCTCCACCCTCATCCTATAGAATCTCTTCTCTGGGTAAGCTAATCTTGTTTGATACTGTATCTAACACTGGTGACTTAACAGAAGATAATGGCACAGTCTGAAATGTGCTTCCTGAGTCACTTTGAATCCCAGCACAATTAACTCAAGCCATCATTAATGAGAATGTGCTTTAAAAAAAAACCAACGTTAAATTATAGCTGATCTTATAGTAGAATGAGCTGTTCTTTAAACCCTACATCTTAACACCCCCCAAAAGGATCTCCTTTCCTATTTTGCAATATATTGTGTAATTCAAATGTTGTTGATTGCCTTCTGTTCAGGGACAGCTACATGACACAGGTAATGAAATTCTGGAATGCTGTGTTTGGATAGTCTGTGGTGAAGAGATCTGTACAAATATGCATATATCATAATAATTGAGCTTGTGTTTTTTTTCATACAGGCATACTGCATTTTAGCAGGGTCATTGGTGTCTGAAGGAGGTATGCAGTTTCAAGAAATATTTCTGTTATTCACAATCTCTAAGAATATGATGTGTGTAATTACAGTAATAACTGGTCCTTGATTACACAGTAAGTTTTGAGCTCTGTTGCAAATACTCATGTTGTAAACAAACAGAAAAGTGGGAAACCTTTTTCTCTGATCTGTCTATATAAGAGGTTGAAGAACACATAATTTGGAAAGAATACGTAGAATGACTTCTTGGTATTAAACTATCATGGAATGTAACTGTTCCAGTATGTATGGAACAGACACATGTAGAAAAGAAAGTAACTTTATGAGTTGTCATTATTCAAAGTATTGATCAAAGCTTTCTTGCTATGATATAAAGAAAAGTTCCCTCTTTTCAAAATGGAAACAAGTCTTTTTTCCTCTAACCATTTTCAGCAACTACTTTGGTGTTATTTCAGCTACCCTTTTGGTTGCTATAAATGAAATTCGCAAGAGTGCTCGAGCCAAGGGCCTGTCATTTTATCAATATGGTATGTGTCCTTATAGCAATAAGGTATGTGCTTATTTAAAACAGAATCTATTTACTAGTATTTGCATAATGATAGAAACAGTTTTGTTTGTTTTCCCTTTACCCTTATTGATATGTTTTATATTATAGTAGCAAATACATTTTACAGATTAGGTGAAAACCTGTTGTTTTAAGTAGCACTACTTAGATAATTTTACAAAACTACTTGCATTTTTCAGGATAAATGCCCCTTTAAATTTTTCAAACATTTTGGTGCCAACTTCATAGTTGGCATAGGGCTTGTTCTTGTTCTGAAATGTGTGTGCATGCAAAAAATACTTACAGAATTTTTTTCTCTTAAGTTGTTGCTGTAGCGTGTTAAGTACTGTACATAATGTAGTAAAGCTAAGCTTTCCAAAGTAATTTTTTGCTGTATACGCAGTTGTGCAGAGTCGTGATCCTAGTACTAATGTGGTGTTACTGGAGGACGCTGCAGCAGTTCTGAGTGTGGCTGTGGCTGCTACCTGTATGGGCCTGACTTCTTTAACAGGTAAAGTTTTGCCTCATACTTAATAAATTCGAGCTTACTTATTCAATGGTGTGCAGCTTCATGTTCATGTGGGGAGGATTTAAGAGATTCTTTGCTTACTTTTGAGACATAGTGGTGGTGTTAGTGTTGTCTTCAGATTACAATAGCTGCTTCTGAACAGTGTGAATCCTAACTCAGGCAGGCAGGTTGATCTATATGGCCACTTTGCTACACAGTGAAGTTTTCTAAGGAAGGAAGATTATCCTTTTTTAAGTACTGGTTTTGGCTGTTCAGTTGTTTAAAAAAAGTAAATACAGTAATTTTGTTTCTTTGTGGCTTTTAAAGAGTTGATTGCAAGGTTAATTTTTTTATGTAGAAGTCAGTTTTTTTGTTCCATCACTGGTTTCCTTCATGAACTTAAAAATACAGTACTGTTTCTACAAATGTGAATATGAGTGACTGTGTTGTAAAACATATAGTAAGTATTTTATTCCAGAAGTGGTTAATACATGCAAGTTTTTGAGTTACTGATAAAAGAACAGACTTCTGTGCTACTACCTGTGTTTAACTGTATATAGTATTATATTAATAAAGGTAAATCTATACTTAAAAAAAACAGCTGAAAAGAGTTTTCTCATTTATTAGTCTTGCAGGAGACAAGAGTAGCAGAGGGAAAGGAGGGACTTGAGACTTTTTCTTTTTCTTCCAGCTTCCTATTGTTCTGCAGTAGAAAGAATTGCCAGTGCATTAAAAAGAACAATCACAAAACCCAAAACAAACAAAACATTCCACCAAAAATCGAAATAAAAAAAACTCCCCAAAACAATCTCAGAAATGCTCTGTGAAATTAATTTGAAATGTCTCATTTAGGAAACCCTTATTATGATAGTGTGGGATCACTAGGTGTTGGAACTTTGCTGGGAACTGTGTCAGCATTTCTAATCTACACTAACACTGAGGCCCTACTGGGACGGTCTATTCAACCTGAACAAGTGCAGCGACTCACCGAGTTCCTGGAAAGTGATCCTGTAGTAAGGTAAGAATCTAAGTACTTTAAATATTTAAATTGTTACTTTTAATATTCAATGTCTGGAATCTTGTAGCAGTTGGCATCGAAGTGCTGCAAGTAATTTTATGATATAATAAATGCTTCATGTTAGATGCTTACAGAATAAACTCGATGGTAATTTCTCTTTCTTTGGTAATCTGCAATTTGTAGTGAAATAAGCTTGTAGCTCTCTAACCCTCAAATCTTGTTTAAAGGCTTTTTAAAGAGCTATTCTAGCTTACTCTAACCTTATTAACCCTGACTTAGAAGCAAAACTTACTTTCTTCTTAATCATTATTCAGGAATATATTTCTGCGTAAATCAGCTGGAATATTTTAGTACTTTCTTATTCATAGTCGTTACTGAACTCTGTAGGGGAAAATAAAAACAAGACCATTAGATAACTTCTTTCAAGGATTCTGGTGTTAAGTGCTGCATCATCTCCATTGCAAGCAACAGGTTTGAACATTATGCCCTTCATTCCAGAAGCTAAACAAGATTCCTATTTTGGAATAGAATTGTGTTAGAATTTTCACATCAGTAACTAAACTCTGTTAAATAGTGGTGTCTTTGTGGAGTGTATCAACAGTGCTGTGTTAAAGCTGGTGAGTTCACATGATTATTTGTACATGACTTCTGTACTACTTTTTCTAAAGTCCACAGGTGGCTTTTGCTTGTCTCAAGCTGGAATAATAAAATTTCTCCTGTCCCAAGGACCGTTTTGTATTATATTCTATTTTGTAGATGGCTAAAACTTCTCAACAGAACAGGCTTAATTAATCTCTTTCTTGCTGTAGATATTTTTTTTCAAAAGAAGTAACCAATTTTTAAAAGACATGAAAAATAAAAAGTTAAGACTTTGTAAGAAACTGCATGTTTCTCTTAAGGGTCTGAGCTTGGTACATTTAGGTACTTCTCATAATTCTGTTTGCAGCACCTTCTGTGTCTGCTTTGTCTTGAGTGATACCTTTCTTAGATCCATTACATTACCCATTTTGATTTCTTTTAGTGCACACTTTGTCTTTAACAGAATTATTCCTGTAATGAGTTTAGTATCTTGAGTTTGGTTAACTTAAGTCTTCTAATAAGACATGTGGTCTTGATCTTGGAATTCTTGGAGATGTAAAAATATATTGCCCTTGTGTGTAACAGTCACAATCTGGGGGAAAAGGTACTCTATTTTTTCTTATTTCAACCTTTGGTTAGTTAGGTTTTGTGATTGGTTTGTTTTCATTTTTTTCCTGTAAAATGAGGAAGTCTTGTAGCATCAAGTATTTCTTTAAAAAGCTACTTGTGGATTTTCATCAACATAGCTTTGGGTTTAGTAGAGTTTCAGCATTTTCCTCAACATTCAGACTTTCCATTTTCTTGAATGGAGTTGTGTAGCAGAATGTCCTACTCTTAAATTTTTTCCTATTGACATCACATGTAAAAGAAAAAGCTTCTGAGTTTTGGTCTAAAGCTGTGACTAATATTTACTCTTTTTATTTCAACCTTTCAGGTTTTTCAGCTATCAAACTGCATCTAAATTCTCAATGCAATCCTTTTTGCAGTTACTGCTTCCCAGAACAGTCCTCCTTTGTTCTTTCAGGGAGGTTTTGCAATATTTATTTCCAGATGTGTTCTGCCAAATCTGAAAGGAATATATCAAGGAATCATTTAGTATTTAGCAGAAGGTATTTTAGATCCAAATTGACCAAAGGATACAGAGGTTCTGATTTCTGCTCCCCCTGCCCTTGTCAGCAGCACTGTCACTGAACTTACTATTCCAGCAATACCTTGCCTGAACATCGTGTTCTGCTGCCAATTTTAAAGCATTTGATTTATCAAACAATATTAACTACTGTACTCCTAAAATAATAATCTATGTTGTTGATGTTTTTATCAGCTAAGTCTTGATTATTTTTTAATATATTTTTTCAAAGGGTTGTTTGACAAGACATTCTCTAAAAGCTTAGTGAATGGAATTCATACTCTTAATATATTATTTTTTTCCCTACTTGTTCCACTATTTTTCCTTAGGCTGAAAGGTGAAGTTGTATTTAGTTAAATTGCCTGATTTGCTTTCTTTAGTTTTGGCAGTGTTGTTAATCTACCTTTAAAAAAAAATTTCATCAGTATTGCAGAATGAAAAATTAATTGACCTTCACAGTTACTTTTCATTTTATATTCTTGAAAGCACATTATGGAGCCTGCTGAATGGGAATAATTTCTTCCTTTTAAACATCCAGTATGCTTCTTAGCTACTAATAGGGAAATGCTTTTTCGTACCAATATATTGTTTGGCTTTTTTAGATCAAGAAAACAATTATTATTGCATGTTTCTGCTTATTATGTATAATCAGTAAAAATTTTACCATTTCCTTCTGATAGCAAGTGTATTCCCAGGTTGTTCTTTGTTTTTTTTTATACTTAAAACTTGTTGGTTTGTATTGTGTGCAGTGCCTTTTTTTGTGCTTCTATCAGTGTGTTGGACTTAATAATTTATTCTTTTTAGGCTCATGGCTTTTTATTTTCCCTTTCTTTTCATTTTGCTTGGTAATTTCTAGTTGTAGCCCTTATTGCATTTGTGGACCAGAATGAGGTATCAGAATTGTTCTCAGTTGGAAAATTATTTGATCTTAGTTTTTGCTATACAAACAGTCCATTCTTAACTCTTCATTCAAACCTTTGGTGCCTAAATCTTTTTGTTCATCTTAGCTTTCAGGACTGTGAAATAAAATATATAAAATATATGATCACACTGTCCTGATTCTGTTCTTATAGAATGTGATCACAGATTCCTAGGCATAAACTATTCTTAGTGACAGTTTCACCTTTAATTTTTACTTTACTACAACTGATGGCTCAAGCCACTAACTTGATGTCCTCCAACAAGTTTTTCATCCACGTGAAACTTCGTCTTTTCACTGGTTTGAATTGATGGTGTATACTAGGCATCCAGAAGCTTCCATGAGCAAGCTTTGCAGCTTAAGTTTGGGCATATGTATTTGTATTTTTGAATTATTAGTAAACTTTCTCCTCCTGACTCACTGTCTTATCTTTCCTGAACAGATTCTAAGCAGTGAGGTAGACTTTTTTCTTCACATTTCCAGAACATGCATCATTCCACTGAATATTATCAGGTTACTGCTTAATGGGTATCTTGAATCTCTTGTATCTTCTTGTCTGGATCTGATAGGCACTTGATGTATCTTCAACATTCTTGAATCACATTCAGTTTCTCTTTAGTAACCCTCATTGAACCTTATCTATTATCTTAAATACCGTGATGTGTGAGGAGGTAGTTTGATGCCAGCTGGGTTATTCCAGCAAGTACTGTTCTGATTTGGTAGTTTCCCACAGAATAGCTGTGTAAATTTTATTGGAGCTGGAAATTCTCTATTACTACCAGTAAGCTGGTAGTTCTTTTAATCTGCTTAAATGTTTACTAAGATGTATTTTTTAGTGTCTCTGTATTTAGTTCATGTTCTCTTTCTTTTTTAGTGTGCTTATCCCTCCACACTGAGTACTACAAGAAATATTTAATGAACTTTCCTGTGACTTCATCTTACACTTCTGCCTTCTGTTCTTTGTCAGCTGTTGGCTCTAGCAGGCTACTTCTGAAACACAGGCCTTTCACTTTCATCACCTGTGAAGCTGGTTCTGATTTATAAAAGTTCAAATGAGAAGAAATGTTTCTAGTTGGGAGGAGAAAATTCTAGCTGGGAAGAGATAAAGGACATGCTAAGTGTAAAGATGCTGTGAAATTGCACAACTTAGTAAAACAAACAGGGAAAAAAAAGTGTTGTGCTTTCCATCAAGTGAGTTTTAGGGCTGAATCCAGATTTTGTGTTAGAGTTTTAAAAAATGTCAAGATTACATTTTTTAGTTAATAAAACCAGAATCTTTGGGATATTCTAGAGTCAACCTTACACACTTGTTCTGCGTACAGAAGAAATATTTTTTTAAAATTGAAACCTATTTAGTATTTATATCCCATATTTTAGTCTACACTTTTTTTTTTTTTCCAGCCTTGATGGAATAGTAGAGAAATTTATTGTGCAGTGGCAGTTTTAGATTCTACTTGGCTTTAAAGTTAAACTAAGCTTGTGTTAATCTAATTAGGAAAAAACCCCTAGAGTATTTTACTTTATTTTACTTAATGATTTTAGTTTGTTTATTCCACTGTTGAAATGCACGACAGTATGTCTGGGTCCTGGGTTTCTTCATATCTTACTGTCCCTGAAAAACAGAGTGCTGTATATTACCTTTATTCACACATTACAGAGTTTATCTTGCAAACTGAAGCAAACCTCGGCTATAGAAAAACAGAACATATTGCAGCATTCATGTTCTAGACCTAGTAGGAGCCTTTAAATAAATATACATTTTCAGCATTTACAAACAGCTGTATTGCCATTAGTTGTGATCAATAATTCAGTAGGATTAAAAATTATTTCCAAACACAATATCTGTATCTTTTTCTTATATAAAATATAACTTAGAATAGAAAATTCTCCAAAAGGTCATGCCTTTACAAATTGTAGTTATCTAGGAAACATCACTTCTATAATTGCAATGTATGCTTTCAGTAATTGACAATATATTTTTTTGGTTCCTTACTTCAGAATTGAGGATACTTTTAAGATTGTTAAGTAGTGTCGTGTATATGTACATGCACTAAAACTTTTGTGCAGTAGCAAGTAAGTTGACCTTAAAAGTTTAACTCCAAATAGGGAGGTTCTTGCTTTCTATTGTGGGATGGGTTGGTGTCTTTTTTTTTTAGTGTTAATCTAGTTCTAAGTCTGCAGTGCTTCTCGTAGTTTGTCTTTATTGCAGTGAGCCACTTGTAGATGTAGCAGATACCTGTGGAAGTGGTATAACTGGTTAAATATTAATCAGTATTTAGTGGAAGTGTGTGGTGTCAAAACGCGGACATGTTAGTCAAAGGCTGTGGCCTTTTAAATTTACAGGATCATTTTACTGTGACAATATTGTTAATGTCAGAAGCCAAACTAGCTAGTTGTTCATTTTATGTTCTACATTTTCTTTAAAATTATGTGTTTCAGAGCAATTCATGATGTTAAAGCCACAGACATGGGAATGAGCAAAGTGAGATTCAAAGCAGAAGTAGACTTTGATGGACGGGTTGTTACTCGTTCTTACCTGGAAAAGCAAGACATTGAACAGCTGCTACAAGTAGGTTAAAAAAGTATTTTGTAAGTTGCAGTATTTGATATTTACTTTCCAATTTCAAGTATGTCTAAAACAAAGATTTTAAAGTAGGTGAGAGATACTCCACTTCTTAATTTTGAAGGATTGCAGATGTTTTCATTTTGTGTAAGAATGTTAAAGATCTGTGAACAGAGTCATATTATATGCTGCTGAGACAGGGACACTTACGGGCTGGGTAGGAGCAGGGTAGATTTTTTTTTAAATTCAGTTTTTTGTTAGATAATACAGATATGTCCAAAATAATTTTGATGAGAACACAATTCTTCCAATAATATTTTTATTGAATTACAAGATCTCTAGTTGAAACTGGAAGCCTGTCACATGAGAATAAGCATCTGCTTTGGCAGAGCCATTTGCCTTGGGTGCTAACGATACAGTGTTATGGTTTACAGACCTTGGGTTTATGTCCCAAGTCTCAGTTACTTTGCTGTTGCAGCTGTTCAGTACACTAATCTTTTCAAAGGCATTGTTAGCTTTTGTTCCTTACCCACTGTTCCCTTTGGTGATTGCATACAAACACCACTGGTTCTTCCAACTAGTGTTATTGGGGAAGTTCTTCCTGATGGTTTCTAGGTTGACAACTGTTTCTTACACAGGTCAGTGTAGTTTCATGTAGTAACCTCCTGTCAGCTACAAAACCATTGTAGAGGTTTCAGCAAGACTCAGCTGTTTGAAGGAAAGGGCTGATGTCGTGTTTGCCTTTTGATATTTAGTTTTTTAAACAACTAGCTCATTCAGCTAGCATTGCTATCAACATGACTCTTTCTATAGTTGTGAAATATTTGTTGAAATGCTGCCATTCAGATAGTCTCATTTCTTTATCTTGTTAGTCTTGCCATGACCGTAGTCATAGGTTACTGTGGCTGGGATATCTTTCAAGCTCACATTATTCCCTTCAGCTTTAGAGTAACTAGCAGGGGCGTGGAGAAATTGATGTTGTCTTGTAGTTGTATACGCAAGAAGTATTACCTATTTAATTACTCTGCAGTAGTACTGCCTTGGGGAAGAGTGGCTGGAAAGCTGCCCAGGGAAAAAGGACCTGGGGGTGTTGGTTGCAGCTGGCTGAATATATGAGGCAGCAGTGTGCCCAGGTGGCCAAGAAGGGCAGCAGCATCCTGGCTAGATTCAGGAATAGCATGGCCAGCAGGACTAGGGAAGTGATTGTCCCCCTGTACTTGGCACTGGTGAGGCTGCACCTTTGAATACTGCATTCGGTTTTGAGCCCCTCACCACAAGAAGGACCTGAAGGTGCTGGAGAATGTCCAAAGAAAGGCAACAAAGCTGGTGAAGGGTCTAGAGCACAGGTCTTAGGAGGAGAGTCTGAGGGAACTGGGCCTGTTTAGTCTGGAGAAAAGGAGGCTCATAGGAGACCTTATCACTCTCTACAGCTACCTGGAAGGAGATTGTAGCGAGCTGGGGTCTCTTCTCCCAAGTAGCAAGTGGAAATGGCATTAAGTTGTGACAGGGGAGGTTTAGATTGAATATTAGGAAAAAAAAAATTACTGAAAGGGTTGTCAAGCATTGGAACAGGCTTCTCAGGGAAGTGGTGGAGTCGCCATCCCTGGAGGTATTTAGATGTGTAGATGACATCTTAAAGACATGTAGATGACTTAAAGACATGATTTAGTGGTGGACTTGGCAGTGCTGAGTTCATGGTTGAACTTGATTGTCTTAAAGGACTTTTCCAACAAAAACAACTGTATGATTCTATGTTAGTCATAACCTATTTGTCGTAAATATTCTGTGGCTGTATCATCTAAACTGTGGTTGAAATACTGCAAGGCAAATGGCTTCTATTCAACTTGGTGTTAAACCTCTAAGGAAGACTCATAATGCTGTAATACCTGCTTTGGTGCTTCTGATGTCTGGTTCTTTTTGGAGGTAGCAGCATAGCATCCTGTGTTCCTTGACGTCATTCCTTCAGTCTCGTATGGGTCTCCTAGTCTCAGTTCCTATTGGTTCTCCAAGTTTTTTTATATTTTGGAGGAGCTAAATTTACAGCAACATTTATAGTAATCCTCGTGGACTTTCAGATGAGCTGATAATGTGATGCCCAGACTAAGCAGTGTAATGGAATATCAAGAACACATGAAAATGCGGAAAGAATACACAGGGGTACCCTGCCCTGCCTTGCTGTGAGCATGGGGTACCCCAGAAACTTCTAGAAAATGAAAGAAATTTTCTGAACTTATTTGGAAAATGAAGGAGGAAATCATTAAAGATAGAAGGCTTTATATCAAGTGCAGGTGTAATCCAGCTGTTTTTGTTGAATAGATGCTACTCTTCTGTGTCTTTGAGACATAAGAAGAGGTGGTGTTTTGAAAGGAAATGGTAAAAGCTTAGAAATGTTCAGGCTTGCTTCGTTCCCCTGCTGTGAGATATGTCAGGACTCTCTGTAATGTTATTCCTTTCTTTCTTTTTCCTCATCTCAACCACTTAAATTTGATTTCTTCCTAGGAAATTCAACAAGTGAAAACCCTAGAAGAATTAGAAGCCTTCATGCTTAAACATGGTGAGAATATAATTGACACACTGGGAGCTGAAGTAGACAGACTTGAGAAGGATCTAAAGGTAATGTTAAGCTTCCTGTTAGGGAGTGCTTATTCTGTGATAAATATTAAGCAATATTGCTGCATCTGCTTTTTGGGATTTTTTTTATCGTGACTGCCCGTTCTGGTCATCAGGAGACACTGCTCAAGAGCGTTTCTGCTCTTGATTATTACATTTTATTAATATGCTAGTTTTAGTTTCTATTCCTGAACTGGTCCTGTTAAAAAAAACCAAAATATTATATTTGAGTTTATTTGCACCAGCAGATCCAGTTCTTTGTGGTTTTTGAAGAGTAGGATTGTAACTAATTTTTTTATAAGCATGAGTAGTCTTTTTTGGTATAGGCAGGGATTTCAGTGATTGTGCTGCTTTTGAGTATTCTTCACTAAATATGCGAGTCAGATTCACATGCTGGATGACTTTGAAATCAGTGACTTTTGGTAAACCTCTCGTGGATTATACAGTTCATGTAATGCATAATGTTTCTATCAGAAAATGCCAATTTCTTAATAGGAAGACTATTTTGAATCTATAAATAATAAAAATAAAGTGGTGTAGAAGAAATTATTTCAGCAATCTTATTCATTATTCATCATGGTTTTATATAAAAGCAAACTGCCTTTTAAAAATCAAGATAGCCACTTCATACTTAATAAAGCGTAAGAAATTATTGATCTGTGATATTTGAAAGTATTTGTCAGATAAAAAAATTGCATATAGTCAGGGCAATGTTTGTTGAAGCTGTTTCTCATTTAGAAATGGTTCTAATGTTGAAATAGTTCCTATGTTACCAGGAAAGGGTATTTCTTATCCAGTTGCCAACATCATACCAGAAATACGTTATTTGTGCAAAAACTATATATGTGCAAAACTGTGTTTCAATATTTTCAATAAAAATGTATTTTTTTAAAAAATGTATTTCAGCAACGGAATCCAGATGTTCGTCATGTGGATTTGGAGATACTATAGACTTGGCAGAAGAAATCTTCAGATCGCCACCATTTTGGAAAGAAGTCATCTAAAGGGCTGAAAAGCCTCTGAAATTGCAGTGACCTCAGCACCATACCTCGCTTACTTTTTCCTATAGGCTTCCTGGACTGCTAGCACTGCTTCTGTTTCTGGAAGAGTGCTAGGCTTGCAGACAGAAATTTCCGTGGCAAGATCAGTTTTCAAAAGCTACATGACTTAAATTCCACAGGAGAGTCTGTCGGAGTGTATTTACTGAATTCAGTACTTAAGACTTGAGGTTTAGTTAGGCAAATAGAGCTGCCTGAAAATATACAACACACTTAGTTTTTCGTTTGTGTCCCTTTGCAGTCAGTTTGCACTTCTTCAGTTTCTTTCAAGATATCATTAAAGGTTCTTGGGAGATAATAAGATTAGCTAGGAAGAGTTTGTTCCAGTGGAACCTGCCAACCTTAAACTAATTGTAGTATTTCAGCTGCGTGATTGTTTCACAGTTTTTCTTTTCTGTGGTATAAATTCCTCCAAACAGGTGCTGGCCTTCTCTCAAGTACAATGACCTGGAAACCTGTTTTTTGCCACCATTGTTACTACCAACCACACTTCAGAAAAATAGTCTTTTCTCCTCAGTGGAAACAGCTGTATGTGGGTAGCCGGAGTATATTATGTTACTGTGAAGAAATTACTGTTGTACAGATTTCAGTGAACTTCTCTGTTTAAATTTTGTTCTTTTTTCCCTTATTTGACACTTGTTCTCCTATTTGTGTCTTCAGATGTAATCTGGGAGATATTTATGGTAGTACTTACTAAGAGTTACCTGGCATTTTTGGCTTTTTATACTTTGAATAGGCTGTATTACCAGATGCGGTCTTTGATAGAAGGTGTAAGAGATGTAGCTGGAAGTTAAAATAGAGAAAAATGTATTTATAATTAAACAAATGAATACATTGTACTTTTAATTTATTTACCTCTAGACATTATCTGTTTTCTGAATTCTAAACTGCTTGCTTTTGCGTTTTTTTTAAGAATTGACTTTGCTTGTTTGGGAAAGTAAATTCATGCTATGAGTGGTCCTCAACAATCCTGACATGAGTGCTTAGAGTTTTTAACTTGAAAATGTACAGTTCTACCGCTGTACATAACCAGCCTCAAGGCTTTCTGCAATGGGCACCCAAGTTCTACCAAATTCTTGGGAGACCTGGACATTATTAATAAGGCCATGATTACCGATCTTCACAGTTCAAATGCAAGGAAAGAACTGCATATAAATAACTCGAAGAAAATAATGTATGCACTTTAGCGGATTTCAGTAAAATGAGAATTGCTCATGGGTGAGAGGTGGTAACAAGACCTTTCTCATGACTTGCTGAGTAACGACAGACTTGCTGAAAGAAGAAATGTTGGTTTGAAATACATATTAAAAAATAAATTTAATCTTAAATTATAGGCATTGCAGCAAATAATTGTGCAGATCAGTATGTCCAGATTTGACTTAGAAGCATTTTAGAACGTTATTTTCATACTAAGTGTCACTTACCACTGAATTATGAGAATTTAAAATAGCATGCCTTTTGACAACTGCAAAGCACTTTGCATGCTGGTCATTTTAGGTTGCAGAACATTCCAGAACTTAGTTACAGATGGGACTTCTCATACACAGTGGGCGAAAGGGTCTCTTTAGCATCCTCGTCCATAATCCATATTCATTGGTGGCTTTTTAGCATATTAATTTATTACAGATAATCCAAAAGAAGGCCTACTTAAGCTGGTTTTCTCCTGTTGTAGAACTAGGTAGTATATTTAAGCCTGATTTGAAATGCAGTTTGAACGTAATTTTGAAGTATACTTGTACCAAGTAAACGAGGCATATTTTAGTGCATTATGAATCATTTACCTTTCTCCTCACCCGTTCACGTGAACTTCATCTCGCCTCAGCCTGCATTCTGCTGATGCTAGTCTTGGACACAAAGAGCACTGGAATCTGATAACGCATAACTTATTAAAATATTTAAATGGATATTGAATTTGAATAAACACTCTAATAAACACATTATTCCAGAAATCCTAACAACCTGAAGAGAAGTAAAACTGGGAAAATGGTCTTACTGGGGCGAGGTTAGTGGCAACAGCCAATGTGATCTATGTGGTTTGTGTACTGGAGTTACTGATAAGAGTAGTGTTAGTATGTGCTTCGCAGGGCAAAAATTTTACTGAGAGGTTAGTAAATGTTATTTCAATACTGAAGTGTTCCCACACCTTGCTTAAGAGAAGGCATGAGTTTATATTCTGGGCATCTTCTCCAAAAGCTTATAAAGATATTTTCTTATTCATCAGAGAAGTAATTCACAAAATCACAGAATCCTTGGGGTTGGAAGTGACCTCAAAAGATCATCTAGTCCAAGCCCCCTGCCAGAGCAGGATCACCTAGAGCACATCACACAGGAACACCTCCAGGCAGGTTTTGAATGTCTCCAGCGAAGGAGACTCCACAACCTAATTCATAAGAGTTCTGATCTTAGTTTCCTTATCTGAATTATAAGATCACCTTGGTTGGAAAAGACCTTTAAGATCGAGTCCAACCATTAACTTAGCATTGACAAGTCCTTAACTAAATCATATTCCCCAAGTACTATGTCTGTATCTCTCTCAGATACCCCTAGGGATGTTGTATTTATTTTGTATTCCAAGATAAAAGTCAGATCCTTGTCTCCCAGTTAGTCTTTATGGCATCACAATATACTAAATTTAGGAAGTCAGAACTGGAATGTTTTTTGTTATATAACAGTTGCATAGTTTGAGAATCCCAGTTCCATTTTAAGAGACTACTCAGATGGTGATGTCCCACAAAAAGGCAGGCAGACTGGTTTTGGCAGTACCTTTTAAGTTTACATGTCTTGCAGTTGTGTGACAATAGGAATTCATTGAGCCTGTCAAGTTGGAAAGGAAAACTATTTCCAAGCTGTTTTTTTTTTTTAATATAAATTGCAGATTGTTTTTGACAGTTTTGACATTTTTACAGCTTTCTTTTTTTTCTTAATTGTCTTTATGATCTAAAACTTGGTGATGTGGGTCCACTACTTAGTTTACTTCTGTTTTAGTGTTTTTGGAGAAAATGTTTAGATAATACATTTACATTATAGAATCCTCAGAATTAAAGAAAACTTATAAAGTGTGGAAGAGTGGATTTTTTCTTTTATCACAAGTGGAATTACAAGTTTATTTTAGAGTGATTTTAAGGAAAAGGAGTGGGGATTTAGCTAACAATAAAGCTCTGTTCTAGGATTTTTTCACTTAAGGTAGGGTCTCTTAAAATAACTTTGGTAGTCTGGCCTTGCAGGTCTAATTTTTTCAAATTGTGTTAAAGTACTACTGCCCTCTGATTTGTGAAAGGTTGCTTATGTGTTATGTCTCATAATTCTGTAAAAATTGCCATGTTTGAAAAAATTGTCTTAGTGTTCCAATACACTGAGTGATATTAATGTATTTTAAGTCAGAGTTGGTTGCAGACTAAGAATACATGTTTTCTTGTACAATTCTTATAAAAGATAAAATTCTGAAGTGACTGGTTTTCCCCCATTAATCAATGTCAAGTCTGAATTACCTCCTTTATACACTCTGGCATTCAGTATTTCAGGTGTTCTTCCTCTACCCCTCCACTTTCTAAAGTGTCTATTAAACATATTGTAGTAGTAAATACTTCAGTGGACTACTGTGTTACAGAGACTGCTGTGTGTTCTGGTCCACAAGTAGCAGGGACTTGGGGAACAGAACACAATTTTAAGGGCATGTTGCATCTTTATCTTCTGTGAACTTATACTTAAGCAGAAGGGTTTTTTAGGCTTTGCTTTTCTCCTTGAATTCCTACACAGATACATATTGTTTTAATAACTCTTACTTTTAGAAGTCATTATGACCATGTTATGTGTTTTTACCATGGCTAGATGCTACTCTTGGTCTCTGGATTTTCTGTACTGTACTTCTTGTTCATTGGTAGCTGATGATAGTGATTACTCTTGAAAGATAAGAATCATGTTAGCCAAAGCTCCTGGAGTTTTCTGATTCTGGCAGGTGCAGTTTTTTCAACTATATCCAGAGACTCAGTTTTTGTTGAGGGGTTTTTACTGGCTCTTCTTTGATAAGGGGGAGTACAGAGAAGAGATTTAGGTATCTTTTGTGTAGGTAATACACTCATTGCTATTCTGTGTTTGCTGTATTTGTTATAATTTGAGCTGTCTTCTTTTTTTTTTTTTTTTTTTTTTGTAACAAACCACAATTTACACATTATGGAAGTACCTCTATTAATGATGAGTGCATCAAATACAGGCTTCCTGCAAAGAGTTCGTAGTCTTTTGTTTATTGAATGTGGCAATTTTTGAAAATTTTCAGTTAAGTAGCTCTTTTTCTCAAGTTGATTTAGATGTGTTTCACAGAAAAGAATCTACAGAAGCATATTGTTCAGGATTGGAAAGAAAAGTATTCAATGTAATGGTCGTGTGTTCATAAGGCATTTTGGCTTGCTAAAATAGAAGGATTGATTAATATTGACTCCCGTACAAAACTTGAACTTCTGTGCATTCCTAAAGGCTTATGTTGCAGAAGTTAATATAGAATGGCACTGTGCTTTTTTTCTTCTAGGTTAGGTATTGTGCTGCTTCCATTCTTGTTAGCTCTGAATAGAGAGTACAGCTAATATCTTTTTACCTTCTTAGTATAAATAGGAAGACAAGGTGTACCAAAAAAATTTTTTGGTGGAGGGGTTGTGTAGCTTAAATAAGTAAGTATTCCTTTCTTGTTAGTGAGACACAAATAATTAACGTCAAAAGTAGAACTATGTCTTTACTACATATACAAAGAAATAGGAACCCAGCCTTTAAAGCACACTAGTCAGATTTTGAAATACATGTCCTTTGAAGAAAAGAAAATGTGCCGGGAACTCTTCAAGTGGTTGTATGGGCTACAGAAACTGCAGTCAGGCTTTCCTGAAGCAGAAGAAAGGAAACTATAACAAAGTGTGTGGTAGAAAGAAAAAAATAGAAGGAAGGAAAAAAAAAACTGATTTTGAGCACTCGGGAAAAGGAACACAATCTAAAAAATGTGGCCAGAAATAAGAAATTATTATTAGAGAGGAAAAGAACAGTATGAAATACTGTATTTTTATTAGAATGCATAGAACTATGTAGTAGGACATTGTCTTTCTTTTGGCAATATTCACTTAGTTGGGTGATTTCTCCCTACCACCCCTAGCTAAAAATATTTTTTTTCTTGTAATGAAAATCAGTGCCTCTGTTTAACTGTATCTGAATATGTTATTCAGTCTTGCTTCTGAAAACTTGGATTTATTGCTAAAGGTGATGGGGTAATTGCCATCTGGAACTTTGCTGGTGAGGTATATATTTGGTAAGTGGAGGGTGAATAATTTCAATTGTGGAAATGGGAGCTGGAGTGAATGAAAGAGAAAGTTGATTCTTTCAGCCAGAAAATTATGGAAGCACTGAAGAGGTTAGGGGAAAAA